TTTTCATCAACGTTCATACAAATGTGGAATTCAGGTTTTGATATTATTCCTAACAAAACTTTTAATTTGTAAAACAATAAATTATTATTAGTGGGTTATAACGCAATAACCGCCGGTATATGATTATTCATTTAATATCTTCCTTGTTGATAAATTTATTGATTTACAACCGAGATCAATAATACTTGCAAACCAGGTCACACCTATATTTAAAGTCTGTTAAGGTAGTACAATCGTAATATTAACTTCCAGTCTGAAGAATAGTATTGAGTGTAATAGTTTATCAATGCCTTATTTAATACATGAAAATAAAAAGAAAATATTTTTTCGTTGTGCATGTGCATGTATGCTAGTGTCTATGTAGTGATGCAACAGAGCAGCAGAAGTTTGCAAAAGGCGACCAATTAAAAAAAATATCAGTTTACAAAAAAAGGTTCAATAGTATATGTCAGATGTATGTGCTGAACTAATTGCATCATATGCTATAAATTGCAACTCTTCAAATGTAAATATGTTCATACAATAGTTTTTTAACTCATAAAGGTTGTCAATATAATTTATATATCTTACCTTGAGTATATTTAGACCTTAATATATACCATTATAAGAGTATGCTATTCATTGCGGCTCTCAAATGGTAATATGTTTATACAACAGTTTTATTGTATTAACTCGAAAAAGTCTGTTGCACATATCTATGTAAACCTAGAGTGTAATTTACCCCTATAACAATACCATTACAAGAGTCTGATTTAACACTCCAGAGAGCCGCACAATATGAATTGCGTGTTTGTTTGTTGTCATCATACGTCTAATTCCAACGTTCCATCTTTACCTGTGGAGAAAGTCCTCACGTGCCCTCTCGTGCATTATTTCAGACACAAATTTACACATGAGTAGAACCACCGATCTTTCGTACGCAAGCTCGATAGCTTACTCACTTGAGCAACATAATAAAATACATTACTTTTCCTCATGTTTAATTATTTAAACAGGTTATTATAACTGTCAAATGCATAACAATGCATAGTTTCCTAACCCCGACTAATTCTTAAGTTTGTGGTGTAATCATTTGTTATAAAAATAAAATGTCGGAGCAGTGATCTACCAATTAAGAGCCCTTGGATTATACTCACATACGGTGGACTATTTTATGGTGAACACAATTCATCAATCACCCAGACCCGTATTGCCATGAAATATACGTGTTTAATTTTAATTATTTTTATACTAATTGTTTATCAGCTAATAATCATTATTTAGTTGCTAATACATGTAATATGTTACCTGCTATCTTAACATTCTAATTGAATCAAAACTACATTGTACAATTTTATATTTAACATATGCAAGCAGTATACATTGATTTCACAATTTTTAAGGCTATGAAATGCTCAGACACGTTTTTTAACGATTTGGGTAATTAACATTTGTATATATATTTCAAACATTACACTTGGTAAGTAAGCCTTGTGTTACTACTAATCGTTTATAAGTAATCAATTTAAAAACCTTAAGAGTTTCATTTTTGTCTAAAATCAAGAGTTCTTCTCATTTGCAAAGTTCAGAAAAGCGTCAATTCATACTGAATTTACGATACATTTAAGATATGACCATGCTTATGCATTACCTCTGCTTTATAATAGACTAAACCACTGTTAACTGCATTGGAACTTAGGGCCGTGGGTTCAAACCCGAGATTTGTTGTTTTTCTTTTTGTGATTTAACATTATTTTTGTATCTCTCATATTCCTCTTGGAAAGAAAAACATATTTAGTTTTAATTTCATGATTAATGTAGGTATTAATGCTGAATCTTATAGCAAATATGGTACCTGATTAATGTTGAAACAAATCAAAGCTACAATGTAAAATTATATAAATATAAACTGTTGATATAGTTTAGGAAGACTTTGATAACAGCCCCACACTTTGTGAATTTAACGGACGTTTTGATTAGCTCTCAAATTAGGAAAATGGCCAAAGACGTGTTTAAAATGAGTGGGATAGGGAATTTTTTATACATATTTTATACTTTGAGAAGAAACACTAATTTTGCTTGTTTGTAACTGAATTTTATTTTTTGTGTATAAATAATTCATGGGCATTTTCTCCATAAAGATGGTACTAGTGGGTTAATGCACGTTTTTCCGTGTTATAACTTCTGCAGAGCCCCGAGGAACGGTTGGCTCCAACTGTTCCAAAGGACTCTGCAGACTTTATTACACGAAATAAACGTGCATTGACGCTATTATAGCATAACATTTTTAAACAGATGCATGATGTATATTTAATACAAAACACATACATTAAATCCTTGTGCTTGGATGGTATTCATACAATGAATGATTTCAGATTGACGGTAAAAAAAAGATCAGTGACATCAGAATCGTTTATTTGTTTCAAGTTCACAAGTTTATGAAAGAATGTCAGGCACTAAACATTATTCTCTCAAAGAAATATAAATAGAAGATCTAGTATGTATCACTATAAACATCAATAAAACAACATTTTCTCATATTCTTTTTGTGTTATCGTTTTTTTTGTAAGTTAATTTGAGGGTTAAACTGACTGACATTTATTTGTTTACATTCACAACTGTCCGTTTCTTAGAAAGGGCGACAACCAAGATTAGCGGCGATGTCTATACGCCGTATTTATGGCATTGTTACTTGAATGCTGCTCGTCTTTATGCGGCCCTCGAATCAAAGAGTTCAATATAACACTTTGGCAAACAGGCCAAATCGTCATTTTTTTGTTTGTTTACTTGGCCCTGTATGTATTGAGCATAGGTAAAACCGGGATATAACAAGAGCGCGTGACTATGTTAACACACGATTTTGGTCCAGTTATAACATAGGCAAAAGAGGGAAAAATAGCCGATGATATGCTATAATGTAGATTATTCAAAAGTTCATACTTTCTGAAAAAGGGCGCTGCTTATTTTATATGCTTAAGTTCAGAAAAGTGATCATAACTAGTTTACTGTACCGTAAAGTTTGTTTTAATTTGTCCTGCATGTGTCTTTTTAGGCATATAACTGATCTTTGTTTGTCATGTTTCCATTTACTTTTTGTGCCCGTTAGGGTGGTCATACATTAATTTCGGTAAATGCAACTATCGTATAAATTGTTAAATACTATACTGCCTATAAGACGTGATAATTTATAATTTATGTTTGGACAGGACAGTTCTTAGAAAAGTCTAGTTTGTTTGAATACGATCTTAATTTATGACCACAAACCAGACTAGTAAGTTCTGGAGATTTTCACAATACAAATAGGCGAAATGAGATCTAAAAACTCGGGATTTTTACACGTTATTGCAAACCCTTATGCTAGAGTTCAAACGCTATCATTTAATTTTAAATGAACAATTACAGTCTGTATTTATTGATTTATATTCATAAACAACAAACACATAAGTCTCGCGTATGGTATTTATTTCTATTAATTTAATGCTTTTATTTGATTTGATCGATAAACACTCTAAAAATGTCCTTATAGTATTCGTATAATGTAAATTTAATCATGTATTATGACATGTTGTAAGTCACTTCTTTAACCGTTACATTTATATATTGATTATTACTTTTAAGTGCAGTTATCTCTTTATACATAAATGTGTATCCCATTAACGTTTTGATCATATATTCGTACAACCTGTGTTTGTATTATTCTACGTAAGATATATATAATTATATTGAACTATCATTTGTTTTCGTTCATGTTAAATAACTAGCTCTTTCAGTTCCCACATAAAACACTGATAACTAACCAAAGAACAACGAGTTTGTGTTTTTATACGTAAGAAGTATATAATTGTATTGAGCTAAAATTTGTTTTGTTCGCGTGAAATATGCAGCTCTATCAGTTGCAAACACAACAGTTTAATACAATGAATTAAATGAATATAACGCGTTTGTTTAGCTACAGTTAATATACGGTAGCTGATTGTATTGACATAGTTTACATGTTTGATGGTCTTAGTATTGAAAGAAGAATCTGATAATCTTCATGAATGAGTCACACCCTATATTATTTCTTTTGTTAAGATATAAAGCGCATGTGAGCAATGGTGACAGCTGTATAGATCTGATGGTAAACATTTAACTGTGCAGTACAATTGATTACATTTTCCCGCTTTTAAAATGTATTTCCTTCTCTACATTTTACTTATGCATGAATAATTATGTATTTTTATTAAATTCTATAGATGTCTTCTTTAATGTATGCAATTTAAGTATTCTTAATCGATATGACAACAAACAATAATGATGAAAGTTTGTATAAAAAATCTCACCTTAAAACTGCAAATTTCTTGTTCGTATAGTTGTGAACAAATCCGATAATAAATGGTAAAGATTGGTCGACCTATAGAGATAACGATTGAAATATTTGCCGTTATTATATCATGTGGTTTAAAGCTTGTGTTCTCCGTATTCTATCTATCAAAGTAAATAATGATTGTTTAAGTTTGTTTAACAAAAATGGTTACAACAAGATAGATAAAATATGAATATTTTCTTTCTGTGCTTAATACGTAGATAAGCACGTAATTTTATACGTGACAACATACACTTTCCGTGGTACTCACATAAATGTCATTTAAACAAAGTTATTTTAGTTATAATTGTTATCTATTTAATCTTTGTGCATTAAATGTCGTTGATCATCATAAAAAATAACATATTTGAAAAAAAAAATGCCTTTGTAAATAATTGTTTTTGAATAAAAATCCTAAAATTTTAAATCGTCATATCAAAGTCATTTTTTATCTTTTTGTCATCAAACTTTTGGAAAATAACCATACTTATATTATCTGGGGAACGGTGTCTCAAATTTTTTCTATCTTTTCTCAAAAAAATATTACGTAACGTCAAACATTTTATGCGACTTTTTTCACCATACATATTACGTAATTAAAGATAATTAAGTCCCTGATTGAGCAAACAAAAATCCCTGACACGGTTCCCTCCGTAAATGAATTTCCTTTTGTCGTAGGGCGAATTGTAAAATAAAAGAGTTATGTGTTTGAATTGATAAATATATTAAATAGATAAATAATTGAATAGATCATGCGTGTTGTTTTTTATTTTTCATTCCCCTTATTATTACTATTATCAAAACAGTCCTATGAACCTCTCCTGTATACCTATACAGTAGCCGAATTATCTTTTCCAATCTATACTTTTTCTTTCTTCATAACCTATTACATAATAATAAGTCGCTTTCTATCTAACCTGTGACCCGTTTACATTGTACACGAATGCAATGCTTCATTGCATTCACCATTAACAGTTTATTATATATAGACGTACATTGTAAACTTTTCAATAAATATTGTTATATATCTTTGATATATCTTTTTACTTCACAGGTTAGTGATACATGTTTGTTGTGCATTTCACTCTAGTAATAAGTATAAGTAATTTGTAGTAAACTATGTTCTTAATAAGTATTTTAAAGCTCAACTTTGTAAAAGGAATCCTTCATGTCATCATTTCATATTTTGTATACATGTACTTTGTTATTATACTGATTCATGGCATTCACCATTAACAGTTTATTATATATAGACGTACATTGTAAACTTTTCAATAAATATTGTTATATATCTTTGATATATCTTTTTACTTCACAGTTTCCAACCCATTCCAAAGGACCCATGATTGTCCATCAATTATTATAAATGTTGTTTTCGCGGACAGCTTATCAGCTGCGGCAGATTATATATAAGCTCTACCGACTGAGTGAACCCGTGACAACTGGCGCCCAGTTCAGGATTTGGAATTAGGATTGGACATTGTTTTATATTAATTGTATTATATATACATGGATATTTTAAATTCAGTTTGAATACACACCATGTGACGTCAGAGCGTTTTACGTTTTCTATTGGATATTTTATCCGTTTGACCTGGTCAATCGTGTATTTGTTTACACGTATCTGATCTATTTTTGGATTTACACGTGCTATGGTACCTACTCCTGAGCTGTCATTTGAGATCTCCGACGTTGGATTCCGTAAACATAGGCCTATGGAACTACTTATCATCACCACCAGGAAGGATTACCATCGATAACCAGGATTTCCTATGGATATTTCTGACACTGTGTTTATTATTGTGTTTTAAGTTTTGCGCATAAGTGTGTATACATGTGATTAAGTGTTTTGTTTATATGTGGATTTAGGATATAGAAAGTAAGTGTATTTTCTTGAGGTTTTGATAATATTTTAAATTTTTGAGTAACTTTTTATTAAGTAATTTATATATATTCAGAAAATTAATAAGTAAATTGTTGGTATTGGCTAAGATATTTTTGATAGCCAAATTTCATTAGTCTTAAGTCATAATTTTGTTTTATAAATTTACCTTAACAAGTCAGGATATTCCATCTTTTTCCCTCGTATATTGCATTAATATAATTCTCTATTAGGAGCCCAAAAGAAAAAAATACTCTTCTCCCCTCGTTATTAACTTCAATTTTGACCAATTACTCCTATAACAACTGAAATCAATACCATATTGCCTCTATCTCCTCGATAGTCGAGTGGTCTAAAGTGTTGGATTGTCTATACCGTATTGGTCAGTGGTGTTAGTGTGTGAGTTCGCTCCCTACTTTCGACCATATTTTTTTTTCAAATATTTTTTTTTAGTTTGAGAAATAATAGTTAAATAAACGTTTAACTATTTCTTACTCTTATTGCACAAACATTGCAATAAAAGATTAAAATATACAAGATAATATCTTGCCATTAAACATACATAACAATTGCTTTTTGTAATTCAATTACAAGAAGTAAATTTTAATATGATATAAAAAAATATCGTTTCAATGCATTGATAGTTGAATCGCGGATATAGTTCGCAGAGCGACGCCTTTATTTTATGAACGATGCTGATGTTTTATAGTTTTGATAAATAAGTAGGCAGATACTTGAATATTGTTTCTTCTGAAATACATTTATCAAAACTATGAATGTTTAAAAGATTTTGCGTGTAGCGTGAAACTATTCGTCTTTGCAAATTTATATGAAAAGGTTGGTTCATTGAAAGAAATAAAACGAAGTTGGTGATTGTGTGTTATTTAGAGATACTACACAGGTAAAGTAAACGTAAGACCCATAGAAGAGGTATCATTGACCATTACGATTATTGATTGTGTGAAAGTCAAGAGTCTCCGTAGCGTAGTGGTAAGAACACTTGCCCATTGACCGGGAGGTCTGAGGTTCGAAACCTACAAATTGCCAAAGGTTTTTTTAATATCAGATAGTTATTACATGTTATACTTATAACACCATAACATCATTCCATTAATTGGCTGGTTAATTAATAAATAAATATAAATATTTAAATTAGCCCAAGAGTAACGCATGTAGAACTACCGTAGAAAGCAAATGGTGAGAAGCAGAAGGGGAAGTAATCAAGTCGATACGTTGTAAGTATATATATCCAAGAAATTTCGCGGGAAAAACACGGACTAAAAGGGCATTAACTGTGTAATAACTGTGATAATTATCCAAACCTTTATACATTAAAAAGTATATTTGTACAAGTGTTGTTTCTTTTTTTTACTTTAAACAGACGAAAAGTATATAAAGCAAAATTGTTACAAACGATATTTTGAAGGTTTGTCTATTGTGTTTATTATAGTAGATACTGGTTCTGAAATTGAGTTGATTCGGTTGTTTGCTTGTATTTGAAATGGTATGCTGATGAGTGTTATTGTGGTTTATTACTGCATCGTGTGATTTTGTATTATTGTGGGTTAAGGTGAATTAATACGTTTTGTTGGAAATAGGTATTGAATCTGGTGATTTTTATTGGTTTGGAAGTGCTGATTTCGTTATTGGTTGATATATATAGGATTGTTTGGAGTTTTCTTTCGGATTAAGTTATTTGACGTTGACTTGTGTTTTTGGACCTTTCCGAGTGCATTTTGAATTTAAATGTAATCTACTGAGCTGTTAGATTGAACTTTATCAAAAGGAAGCAGAGAGATATTGACCATTCGATAGTTTTATGCAATAGACATGGCGTCATTTATATCTGAAAGAGAAATGAGGTTACGAAGAAGAGAAGCAGCTAGAGAAGAGGAGGAGAGGAAAAGAAAGGAACAATTGGAATTTGATTTGATGGAAAAAGAGTTAGAGATTATTAGAAAACAGAGAGAACAACTGAAAGCTGATACACAAAGAAAAGTATTAAATCAAACAGGAAGTATTGGAAGTACTGAGAATTTTGCTGGAAATGATAAATATGAGGAGGAACAGAATGAAGTACTTTTCACTACTTTAGATGAATTTGAATTCGACCCACATGAGATAAGAAGTAATTCAAGCTTCTCAAATGAAATGGAAACTAGTAAACGTTTTAAGGAAGCTGAAATGAAGGAGTTAGAACGGACTTATGGTACAACACAAGCTGTGGTTCATAATGAGATTGACAAACGTGTCATGAATCAGTCTATAGAAAGTATGCTAAGTCAAGCAAGATTATCAAGGAAAATTTCATATAAAACAGGTGAGGAACACATGAGAGATTTAGACGACAATAATGACAGAAGGTTTAGAGAAAGTATGAAAAATGTTAAAGCTGATGGAAGAGATAGGATGCTTCAGTTGAAAGAAAGAGAAATAGATAGACAGTTAAGAGAGAAAAAGGATACGGAACAGAGACTTAAAGAGGAAGAATTATTAGATAAGGAAATAGAATACTACGAAGAAAAGTTATTGAGAAGGAGAGCACAAGATGAACAAGAGGCATTAGAGAGACGTTTGAGGAATGAAATCGAAACGAATTTACGGAAGGAATATGAGCAGAAATTAAAGAATGAAATGAAGGAAATTGCAAGAAGAGAAAGCGAAGAAAGAAAGTACTTTGAAAGAGAAAAGGAAAGAAAGCAATTGAAAGAGAAGGAAAGACTGATGATGATGAAACGAGAAAAACAAAGAGAAGAAGAAATGAAAATGATGGAAAGAATAGAGGGTTTGAAGAAGATTGAATTGGAAATAGATATGAGAAATAATGAGTTTGAAGGCGAAGACAGTGATAATGATATCGATAGAGATGTACAAGAAAGGATGGAACTTTTAAGACAGGAAATGATGAGTTTAGAAGAAAGAATACATATGAAGAGTAGAGATAGTAGAAACAAAGGGACATTATTTAAAGATAGAAACACAACAAGAAAGCCATATGTATCATCAGGAACACCACAAATACCTCATTTTGATGGAACACAATTTGAAGAATGGAAACTCGAAGTGGAAAGTGCAATAGAATCGGGATTATACCAAGATTACGTTTTGGCACAGGCAGTGAGATCATCCGTAGTTTCAACAGCAAGAAGGGTGTTGCAAACATTAAGACCAGCAGCAACTACAAAAGAAATCGTTTCTAAAATGGAAGATATATACGGTAACATCAGAAGTGGAGACTCTATCATTCATGAATTTTACTCTGCCAAACAACAAATAAGTGAATCATGTTCTGAATGGGGAGTAAGAATCGAAACACTGTTTAATCAGGCGTTAGAAAGAGGAGAGATTGAACGATCTAGAAAGGATAGAAAACTAAAGGAAAGATTTTGGAGAGGACTTAAATCAGAGAAGATAAAATTATCGACAAGGACTTCATACGAATCAGAGGATAGTTTTGATATTTTAAGACGGAAAGCAAGAATAGAGGAAATGGAAATAAAATTGGAAACATCGCCAAGGAGAACAGAAAAGGATTTTCAAATTAAAGATGAAATCAAAGTATGTCAACCATTACAAAAAGTTGATGACTCCAAAGAGAAAATGGACAAACTTTTGAAGAAAATGGAGGATTTAGAAAGGGAATTGAATGAACTGAAAAGAAATCAACAAAGATATGAATATACTCCAAGGTTTAGACAGAGCAATAGAGGATATGGACGATTTCAGAGCAGAGGATACCGGTATGATAGACAAACAAACGATCAAAGAGCACAAGAAGGAGATGTAAGAAAGCAAGAAGAATCCTCATCGTCAAAAGAAACGCTGAAAGAAAATAAGGACAAAAAGGATGAGAAGAAAGATTTAAACTAGATGATGTCTCTGTTGAGGGGGAAACAGGAGACAAGAACAGAAACCCCTTTCATGAAAAAAACATTTTTGATAGAATAGTTGGAACAAGCAATGAAAGTGAAGTTATTGTACATAACAAGTTAACAAAAGGGCTGATAGACACTGGATCAATGGTTACAACAATATCTTCTACATTCTACAAATCCCTTCAACCAATTCCAAAATTGCATTCCATGGACGACTTTGAATTAGATGTTAGATGTGCAAGCGGAGAAAGATTGCCGTACTTAGGTTATATTGAAATATGCATCGAAGTACCATCGCTTACCAAGATAGCTGTTCCAATTTTGGCCCTTGTTGTTACCGACACTGATTACCATCAACGTGTTCCACTTGTAATTGGCACTAATTTGATAAGAGAAATATATCAACAAACAAACCCTAAAGATAACACCAACTTACCTAATTCTTGGAATGTAGCCTTCCACGCTATAACAAGTAATTCAATTGGAGTAGTAAAAGCTACAAAAGATATTAAACTACACCCAATGGAAACGAAAACAGTTTATAGGATTTGTCCGAAAGCAACATAACACGTTATCAGCTGTTACAGAACCACTGGAAAATGACTTTGAGAACAGAGTAACAGTTTGTCCCAGAGTCGTCACATTAAACAATGTAGGAAAGACAGCTCGAGTTCCAGTTCGACTGTGTAATATATCAGCAAAGACCATAACGATTTCTGCAAAATCAAATATATGTCAGCTTGAAGAAGTAAATGTCGTTCGAGAGGCTCCGATTTTTACTGATAACAAATCAAACGTAGACATCAAAACATCTGTAGAACCTGAAAAAGAAAATGAAATACATATGAGGAACATAGATATATCTGAAAGAGAAAACATGAATTATAAAAAGAACTTACCTCCATCCGTTGTGACTATACAGCAACAGACATCACCTGAAAAAGAAGAAGAAATAATGAATGAAAACGACGACATTCAACATAATTCAACAACAAATACTTTTGATGTAGACCTAGAAGATACCAATTTAACAGCAGAACAGAAAGAAAAGGTTTTCGATCTGTTTCGAAAATGGCACTGTATCTTTCCGAAGTCTTCAACTTCCTTAGGCCACACTTCAGCCGTGAAGCATATTATAGAGCTAACTGATAATACCCCATTTAAAGAGCCATATCGCCGTGTACCTCCAGCACTTTTTAACGAAGTAAGAGAACATCTACAGGAGATGTTAGACAGCAACACCATTAGAGAATCAAATAGTCCGTGGTCATCAAATGTCGTAGTGATTGTCCGAAAGAAGGATGGGAAAGATTTCGTTTCTGCATCGATTTTTCGAAAAGCTTAACCTACGCACTAAGAAGGATGCATATGCTATTCCGCGGATTGAAGACACCTTACAGTTACTTTCAGGCTCTCAATATTTCTCTAAACTGGACCTCAAATCTGGTTACTGGCAGGTCGAAGTGCGAGAAGAGGACAAGGAAAAGACAGCATTTCAGGTTGGAAGTGGTTTAGGATTCTATGAGTGCAACAGAATGCCCTTTGGCTTGTGTAATGCACCTGCCACTTTCCAAAGACTGATGGAACGTTGTATGGGCCATATGAATTTGCGTGACTGCCTCATTTACTTGGATGACATCATCATTTTTAGCAAAGACGTCGAAACACACATCAAAAGATTAGATGCCGTTTTTGGAAAGTTAGCTGAATACAATTTAACAATCAAGCCTTCAAAATGTGAATTCTTTAAGACACAGACAACATATCTAGGACACGTTATATCAAAAGACGGAATTCAAGCAGATCCTGAAAAGATACAAGCAGTAAAATCATGGCCAACTCCAAAATCTGTGAAAGAAGTACGTCAATTCCTTGGATTCTCGGGATATTATCGGAGATTCATCAAAGGCTTCGCGTCAATAGTTCGTCCACTCAACAATCTTCTAATCGGTCATCCTACAAAGAAACAAAAGTTAAATCAAAAGAAACCTGTAAAGAAAACTCCATTTAAGTGGGAAGATGAACACCAACTTTCTTTTGAAAAAGTGAAAGAGATACTTACCTGTCCTCCGATTCTAGCCTATGCCGATTACAGTAAACCATTCAAGGTTCACACGGATGCTTCTAGTGTAGGTCTTGGAGCTGTGCTGTATCAGAAGCAAGATGAAAAAGATCGAGTGATAGCATACGCCAGTCGGAGCTTGAAGCCATCCGAGAGGAATTATCCTGCACATAAGCTCGAATTTCTTGCTCTCAGGGAAGGGGGCGCGTGAGCTGAAAAGTTTGCATCGGGATCTATTTGTGATGGCAGGAAATTCGAGGTATAGTAGACGGATAAATAAATCCTCTCAACGAATAATGTCAACACCACAGCCAAGCTTTTGATGCAATACAAGTCATTGAAAGATAGAGATTGGCAGCATCTGGCTAACTATGATTACACGCAGACTTTATAGAAGTGGATTGCAGAAGCCGAATTGGCAGATGAGTTTATCGAGACGTCAACATTTCACATTACCAGGTAAAATACTTTTTAAATCATTAATAAGTTCTTGCTGCCACAATTGCTACAGGACTCTCTACTTTATAAGATTCAACGTCCTATATCCTCTAGTGATAACAACATATAAGCACCACAGTGTTACCACGCCATGAAGTGATCGTTCTTACAGAACTTGCCAATTCTAAAATAACTGACTGCGGTATTAATGCAGCAGAATCAAGATTGTATTCTAATCGCGTACATCATTTGATCACCTTAGGAAAGTTCGATTTCGACTAAGCCGGACGGACGCAGACTTTTCGGGATTTAATGCTTTATGTGCGCGACTGGAAAGTGAATCTTTATTTCTGATGCATTAGGATCCTGTGACAGAAGACATCAGACAATTTCTTTTTGTGCAAAGTAGTACACCTGTATATAAGCATACTCGTTCCTTCTCACAGAAATCAACTTGGAAGGAAGATATATTTACAGCGTCTTTGCGATGTTGATGGACCTGGGCACCAAGGGTCGGGATAGGACGGACTCACTTATTTAAAAAAGGTTTTTACTTTGCCTTGGTCAGTGCCGAATCTCACTTATAATTGCTGGTTTGTGTTGATTGAAAATAATAGTAAAATCTTGGACTCAGACAGATGATGATAATATTATAATTCGACCTTTAACTTCATGTACATAGCACAATCGTCCCGATTACAGTTAATCATGTACCCCAATGAGTGTGGTATTGTAAGCTGCATCGATTTTACTGTCACTTGAGTAGAAATCAAAGAGGCATGAAGACTGCTGGTCGATCACTGATCATTTTAGGACGATATGCTTCAGGCGTACCCTACAGGAACCAGACGCAAGACCACTGCAAAGGTTTCTCTGTGTCATAAGAACTCATTTGTAGTCACTTATTCGTATTGTCCAGCACGGATTCAGCAGCGACCAGGGCTATGTAACTAGCGGAAGCCACAATCTGATCAAGGGAACTATAACTCATTTCAAATCGTTGCATATTTAGGCTTGTATACGTAGAGACGAGAAGTTCGAATCACGCTCATAATCATTGACACAAATAAATGATGTGCAACGTTGTAAAATTAAACAATGACCGAACGCTTTGAAACCAAAATACGAGTGTTCAGATTGCTGGGACCCATTGAATGATAATCAAAAGCGTTGATGGGAAGCGGCATGTTCCTACATTAGTCCATGCTACAATGCCACACATCATGAGAGTACGGGGTCTCTCTTACTATCTGATGTTCGGCTACATCCCAGACTTGTGCCACTGATACTGCCTTCGTTGTGCGGTTTTTACCATCAGTAGCCACTTTGTCTGCCAGCAAACATTCAGAGTACTGGTTAAAGCTTACTGATGTACACGTCTCAAGACTGCATTCATACGAAAAGGCTAGATTGATACAAGTAAGAGCGTGTATTGTCCTCAACAAAGCAAAAGTTATGATGAGAGAGCTCGAAAGTTCTGTATTATCGCAACCACAGAGTAGATGTCGAGTTCTTGTCCCAAGAACTTGTCCATCAAGGGCAGAACAAAGGGAAACTGGCCGAATATAATGGGAAATGACCGTACATCGTCTCATCAGCCAGCCTAACCATTTACATACCTTGTCTACCAAGTGAAGCTTTGAAGGGCAATTGGTACAGAATGGTAAGAAGCACGTCCATCGTTTTTATCTCTTTGCTTCTTTTCATTTGTCAACCACGGATTGGCCATGTGTGAAGAGACAGGATGATGTACGTTCCACGCAAAACTACCTGCCAGATTAAGAGAGATTCAAAGATGTTTTGCGCCAAACAATACTTTAAGCTCCGCTACAATGCTTATTCCTTACTTCTTAGACGATCTTACAGGCTTGGTGGAGGTTCCCAGAAAACTCCTTCTTTTTCTATGACCAAAGCGCACGTCGTGAGCACCTTAGTAAGTACGAATTATCCGAGGCATAGGTTGAACCAGCTCTTAATTGGTTAGATCAGGCTTTCCAAGATTGTGTACCAAATGTCATCCTGCGTATCTTGTCCATATTGTCTCTGGAATCATATCTGTATTTGATGATTTAGTTGAGCATGATTTTTCAAATGAGTGAATACTTTATGTAAGTGTGATTGTTTAAATCTGTTGTTTCTCTATTTTGAATCAATTATGTTGATTTTTTTTTTTTCAGAAAACGTTGTAATACAAGAGGCATATCTTGATGGTATTGATAGGAAATAAACATTGTATTAGTGCCATTAATTTGCAAATTTTTGAATCATTTCAGATGATCCAGAAAACATCAATTGTATGTGTGTGCCGATGACATTTTTCACTTGTGATTATCATTAATCATACCTTGTTGTTTTTGTTTGTCATTTCAGGACATGTGCTGGTGATTTTGTTAGGACACTATCCTGATCCTACTTCAAAGTACAAATTATTATACTTACTAGTACTGTTTTGTTTCAGACAAACTCGATAAGTAGTACCATGTCGTTGATATATT